TGTCCGTCCAGTGTTTTGATATGCTGGACGACACATCGTGAGCAAACTTAGCAGTCAGCACCAAGGCTGAACATTGAACCTTAAAACTGCAGCATACCTGTGATCAAAACACAGATTCAGACTTCTAGGGTTTGAGACCTAGCAAACCTGAGGAACCTGGGCCTTTCTCTACTCAAACTCATAATTCTTTTTCACAATTGAGTTCCAGCTTGAACATGTATGTCAGAATTACTCCAGTATTACACATCACCAGTATGTACTGTAGAGTCGTGTAGCGTAGTTTTCCAATGTTTGAGCAGAGTCGTGGGTGAGTTGGTGAGCTAGAGTGAGATATTTAGAGGAAACAGCCATGTAGAGTTACATCTAAGCCATTTAAAGGTAGGGCTGGATCATTTTCATAGCAAAACCTTCTAAATATCTAATTTTCTAAGGGTTAAATCTAAGGGTACTTTAACAAATGAGGTACAGATGAATGTTGGTGGCTAATGTGCTGACACAATTTCGGTGTCCATGCCAGCTGGAGATCCTGTAATAAAGGAAGGAGTCACTATAAGAAATCCACTTCCTGCATCTTAAAAACACTGTTTGGTGTACAAAACCTACATAATTAGTTTAGTAAGTAGCTTGTGGAACTTAGAAAGGAGAACACAACAAGATCTTCTGATTGTGTTTGTCCCTGTCACAGCCATCTTTGTCAGGTGAAGAATCACTTCTGGGCTCCTACAACATGATACTGATCTCATGTTAGGGTTAAAGTGACTTTAGCTCTGCCTCTTGACCCAACAAACCACAGCTATAGGGTGAAGCCTGTTTATGCAATTAACATTTTAACACCGTGTAGTTTGTTTACATAGATTGTTAGTCATACAGATCACGGTAACCCTTGGAGCGTCAGTGATCCTGCACTTACTCAGGGTTTCTATCAGTTTTAACAAGAGGCCAACCTTTAATCAGCTGACGGCTGTCTTGTAGATTTAATTACAACCTAAAAAGCATTTAAACTATACCCCGATGACTGTCCTAGACACAGTTTCTAAGAAAAGTGACAGCAACAGCCATCATCAAATTTTGTAATTAATACTGCACACCTGTTTTTCATTAAGGAAGATGGCATTGCATTTTTCTCTGTCTTTTTCTTGGTCTCTTGGCTGTAATCTCAGTAGGTTGCGTTAGGATGGCCTCAGGATTAATTTCATGGTGTCAGGATTAATTTCACAACCAGTCCATCTCTCATGAAGGTAGATTTTTTTTATTTTTCTTATTTTTTTGAAAGTAAGAAGTAATACATCGGCAGAAAGTTTGAAAGTTTTGACTGACCTCATATGAGGTGGTTGGCAGAAATCTCTAAACACAGCTGCACATTTTTGAATTGATGGAACGCTTCGTTTGATTTGGTATGTAGACAGCAGTGTTACAGCTCTGCATTAGGGGCTTTGAGCCGAAGGTTATCTTTTCACCACTGACAGCGCTGCCTCACGACAGGGTAAAATCAAAGTATTCATTCTAAAACCTGATAAACACAGCTCTAGCTGAAACTCACCAGTCGATATTTCAAACCCTAGCTATTAGTACACAAAAATCTCCAGATGTTTCAGAAGTTTAATCGTGGGGGTCGACCAATATGGCTTTTTTTTCACACCCAAGACAGATATAGATTATTGGTTATCAGTGAGGCCAATGATTGATATTTGGAGCACAAAACGTCCTTGAAATGCCTTATGTATGATGTATATGTGGTTAATTTATTTATTTATTGGGAACCGGTTAAAATAAACAATGACACTGACAATCAGAAAAATGCTAAATGTTTGATCTGATATGAGACCATAGCATAATTTGTTGACTTCTATTAGATAGTAACCTATTTTCTCCTTTTCCCTTCTCTTTCATGCTGATAGTTATTTTAATAGCAATTATGTGACTCTGGAATAAACAAACTTAAAATTATAAAAGCCTCCTCCTTTTTTATTATTATTTATTTTTTGCAATGTCAAATCAGTGACTCCACGCGTCATTGCCAACTTCTTTGCACCAACACAAGCTTATTTGTGCCAACTGTAGCTGTTAGAAGAGCACCATCCCTCAAAGTAGTTAGCGTTTTATCTGCTATAGTCTATTAATTACGGTTTGTACTTTGAAGAGAGTCAACTTTGAAGAGATTTTCCTCGCCAGCAGACTTTCAAGCAGCGGCCTTACTCCTCTACCTTAAAAGAATCAATACAAAGTTGTGTTAGATGTCCATCTAAAAAGTCAACTGCTCTATAAAGACATAGAAAACCACACAGTTCTTGCCTTCATCCACTGTATAAAATTCAACGTGAGCAGTGGTCTAGTTGAAATTCACAGTACCACCTGAAACCACCCCTCCAAGCCATGTCAGATCAATGCACTTCATCCCTCATCTGTCCACATGGCACTCAAAGCCTGTTCTGCCACCCAAATTACCGATCTGCTGAATTATAACTTTGTTGGACCTGGCAGTGCACTGTACCCAAGGCATTCTGAAATATCACTGACAGACCGAGCTGTCAGGCCGGATATATCTATCACCTGGAGAGCTACGTGAAACAGACAGCTAATATCCTGAGGTCTTTTACAACAGCGTTTGTCAAAGTCTGGATCCAGACAGGAAGTTCCCCACAAACATTTCAAAGTCTGTTAGCCATCTACTTCAAATCTGTTTGGACGATGAAATATGTGAATGCTGAAATGAAGATTTCCTGTGATATCAGTATCATCCCTGTTGCTCAGTCATAAACTGCAGGTCTTAAAAGCCAGTGTTCAGAGCTTTTCCTTCATATTAATTTGTGTATCATTATACTGCAGACTGTGACAGAATGGATACAGACAGAGAAAGCAGGCATCTGGGAACTTTGGAAAGTTTTGCACCAACTTTCTACTATCAGAGGCATTCTGACAGTACATAGTGGTGGAGAAATGTGAGATACATCAGTGTAGTTTATTCTTAATCAACTCAGCCGCTTGATTTATGGGATAAGGAAAGCTCTGTGTCAGGCAATGTCATGCTTAGAATAGTTTCAAGTTTATGCTGCTTTGCTAAATTTAGAACCACTTTGGAAGGACAATTGCAAAGTCTGAGAGTTCGAAGATGGTTGGTTGACATGTCTTTAGGCAAAATGGGATTCAAGGTGAATAACAATAACACCATAATGAACTGTTTGAATTTACCGCACTTGAGAGATGCTCGGCATGAAACTGAACTTTTTTTTTTTGGCATAACATTTCGCTAAGCTGTATTTTTGATAAATATGATCCCATACTCAACTACGCTTTACTAGAATCTCATTGTATTTTGATCGTTGTACGTTTTGATGGAAAGATTCAGACTGTTTATGAAAGACAGGCATAGCTAAAAATTGAGTCCAACACAGATGTTTCTAATAACCAGCAGGGGGCTCCAGTTGTATAGACAATTATGTGAAAATGACCCTACTTCTCGCCTTGATCTGTTTACTAAGTAATTGTTTTCTTATTGAATTTATAATGTCATTCGCTAGTTTCAAGAGTTTTTGAATACAGCATGGTGTTTGATTTGTAATTTATACTCAAATTTAGAGTAAAGTAGATCATAAAGGAGGGTATTTTTAAGGTAGGGTTACTTTGTGACTGACAGATCACTACTGTATCACTGTATATAGTGTCCTTTAGTTCTTAGTCCAACCCATCCCTCACTCATTTACCTCCAAAAGACCAAGATGGTGATGGGCAAATTCCAAACTTGAGGTATCAAACACATCTTTTATATACACTGTATAAGATGCCGTATTAATCAGTTCATATATCATAGTGTTTTTTAATAGTTACTGTATAGTAAACATATGTAATTTATATCATTTCTGTACAGTATGATGTGTTCAAATACATTCCTTGTGTTTCGATTTCTCAGGGAATTGCTCACTAACTTGAATATGTTAATTAGTCTGCATTACACTCTGTTTAGGTTTGTGTTCTTTAGAATGAAGCATGAAGCTTTTTTATTATCCATGAATGTTTAATTTCCCAACAACCCATGATTTTGCTCCACTTATTGATTTTAAGGTATATCCTTTCTTTAAATATCTCTGTGCTAAAAGGTTATACAGCATATGGGGGCAGTTAATAGACCAGAGTATGCCCTGTGTAGGTGTGTATGTACATGATTTGCTAAGTGTTATGCTTGGTCAACTCCATTTAGATTTCTGTCAGGCGTCTGTGCCACTTTTATTTATCGACCCAAGTATATCCTGTGCCCGATCCAGTATTGACTTAAGGTCACACACTGACGTATATCATGTCAGCGCCGACGTGCCTGAATTTTATAATCCCACAATATCTCACTGTCACCAGCATTCCTGTCCCATCTTTTTGTTAGCGATGAGTCTGTACAGAGAAAATGAAAAAGACAATGAGAGAAAGACAAAGGATTGGATGACATACTGTTACATGTTTCACAGCTCGCTTTACAATAAAGACACCATTTTAATGCTGAGTTTAAACACTGAACTCAGTGTTAAGTTTAAACCACCAGTAAGAAAAAGGATCAGTAAATGACAAAGTTTTCAGACTTTAACTGTGACTGCGTGTAGATTTTGTGCTTTGCCTCAGAGCTTGGCGACAGATACTATTTATGGCGCCAACGGGAACCAGTGAAGAATAATTCTTAATTTGCCGTAAAGGTGAATTGAATTGGATGGCCATTTCAATGAACATAAATTTCCCTTAATGAGAAGAATGATATTTGGCTAGCTGTGTGTCCTCTGACACGTGGTCTTTTTTCATGCTGGATATCCTTCACTGCTGGACAGCTGTTTATCCTCCCTGGTCCGCTAGTAATGAGATGGATGCTTAGAAATGTATTAAGCCTGGCCACAGTTCCACTACATCAGCACACTCATTCTGATTTGCGATCTTCTCTGATGCCTTCTTTTTTTCCTTCTTTCCCCATCTTCTCCTTTTTCTTAATCCTTTCTTCTTACTGTTTTATTCTCTCATTCTCACAGAGGTTGTCCAGCTGAGCCTGGCAGACGACCAGCAAATCAGCATCTCCACGGTAACAGTGGGCCTCAGTGCTGTCCTTACCTGTGCCATCCAGGGGACGCTGCGTCCGCCAATCATCTGGAAGAGGAATGGCATCATATTAAACTTCTTGGACCTGGAGGATATCAATGTGAGTAAAAATCACTGTTGTCTTCATGGCTGATGCTGCTTTTTGTTGCTGTTGGTGATGGCAGTGGTGCTGGAGTTGATGGTAAAGAAATTGGCTGTTGGTTCCTTAATTCAAGATGGGCTATACCCTGTGGCTTATGCTGTTGGGTTTTCATTGGTTAGTAAGGTTTTGGATATGAAATTCCCAAAATCCAGTGCCCTACCTTGCAATTTTAAAGAAAGTGAAGGTGAAAAAAATCTGTGTAATGTTTCTGACAAACAACCAATCACACAAAAATATTTAATAAAAGCGGTACCTATTTGGTGAAGGTATTAATTGTCATCCCATTGCAGTTATGGTATTGTTCTTTTTAGCTCTTGGCTTGGTTCCACTATCACCTGAGAAATGTATTTGATTCTTTAACTACACCATCAACTTTTAGTCTACTTTCCAGTCTATATACCGTAGGTTTACCAAAGTTGTTTTACTGAAAACACTTGCCTCCTGCTGTCGAAAACGAGATTTAGAGAACTGTGAGTGAACCAAATAGTAAACTCCCTTTTACTACAAATAGTGCTGATCAAAATCTCATTCACCATGAGCAGAAATTTTACAAATCACTGAGTCAGAGTTACTACATAAATCATATTTATTAACTTAGATTGAAGCAGTGATGCTCAGTAATACTCTTTATTTAAATGTGAGGAGCCCATTCAGATTTCCCAACACTCCAACCTTAAGGTGGTTGTATGTATGTCTTTTCAAAACGTTTCTCTGAGAGACTTAAGTGGACTACCTAATTAATATTTGATAAACTTTAGCAGCATGGGGGCACAGTTGGGGGGCTCTTCGCATTGATTGAAAACAAAAAGTCCATTAACATCTTTTTTAAAATTGGAAAATCACATTGCTGCTTTACAAGTGTAAGGAGCTCTGGGAGTTTTTCAGTTAATTTCTAATCACGAGCACATTGTTTCTTTTTTGTATTTGCACTCTGCAGCACTTGTGAAATGCTCATCAAAGATCTGAGATCTCAGGAGGTGTGCTAAGAATCCTATGTTCTTGATTTAAAAGAACCTCTTACCACGTGAATCCTGATTATCAGCCAGCAACCAACTAGAGAGGAAGACTGGGTGGCAGGCAGATAGTAGGAAGGAGAAAAAAAGGAAATGAAACAGAGAAAACAGCGATTCCCTAGCACCCTTCATGAAATGGTACAATTATAGCTTGCTCACTGCTTAATGAACTATGCAGCCATGCGCCTGTTTAGACACATCAGCACAGGTGACAGCACAGCGCCGGCCTTGCTTTATCCACCACCGGATCACAATTCACTAATTGCATGCTAATGAGTGGCCTTGTTGGTCTGCTGTGATGATGAGCCGATAAACAAAGTCAAGTGTTAAGGTGGAGACTGGAGGAGAGGTGATGGCAACAAAGGTCCCTCGGGCCCTTGACCGCGCATAATGAATTTCCACAGGCTTCAGTGATCCGAGTGCAGGAGGGAGAGAGCATTTGGTCAAATCAAAGACACAACAAAAATATCCTGAAATTAAAAGTAGGGATGATGTCTGTACTTTGGCTGTGTGTGGAATCCTTGTATAATTTGAAAAATAGCACATTTAAAGCAATATGCCAAAGTTTCATGGCGAGTCGATCCATTTAGCCAGCTTGGACAGCTTTGTAGTGGACAAAACATTTTGTTTTTTAAGTGACTTCTTGGCAAAATAAAAGATAAATAAGCCCCTCAGAGAGCTTAGATATTGTCATTGCATACCATCTAGTGTCTAAGTTTATTCTTGGATTGTACTTTATGTAAATGACTAGAAAAAGAATAGAATTGTATAAATGTATATGATGTATACACAGGGAAGTAATATGTACTATTATATTATCTAAACCAGGCCTGAGCCACCAAACTATACAGATATATACAGGAGTTAAGGACTTAATCAATGGCGGTAACTACAAATGTCTTGATTGTTTATCATCGAAATTACCTTTTGCACACTTCTGTTGTACTCTTGTTTTGTTGCACATTATTTGCACTACACTTCACAAAGTACTTCTCTACTTGACATATTGCACTTATTGTACATTTTGCATTTTATATTTTCTTATTGTTTATTTTTGCTTATTTATCAGTATTTGTGGTGGTGGTAAGTTTTTCTTTGTGCTGTACCAACCAAATTTCCGCCTGGGGATTAGTGAAGTATTTCTATTCTATATTCTATTCTATTTTTTGCTCTCAACCCAAGTTTTTTAATACTTAGTATCTGCCTCTCTCATTTATCCAGATTATATACACTTCAAGTACTGTAGATTAGCTGTAATACAACATTATGGGAGTTTAGTTTGCAAAGGAGCACTGTGATGGAGACTTGAATAAGGCTTACTAACGTAAGGCCAGTAAATGAGTATTAAATGAAGTTGGGGACAGCATTTCTACATTTCAGTAGAACATCTTTTAGCCATTTGACAACAGATGTAAACAAAGAACTGGGCAAAGGTTTGTGCCAATACCAATCAATTAAAAATAGTTGTTCCTAGCAACCCTTGCAAAAACCAACAAGAAAACACAAAAGTTTGGTTCCACAAACAAACCCCGAGTCTGCTTCCTCCCATAGTACCTTGATGATGGAGCCCCTTTACCCTCCATCTCTCCCCCCGTGACTTTCGTCCAGGTCTTCCACTCGTCCACGGCCTCCTGAGCCTCTCCTCACATCCATCTGCATCTGGAGAATTCCCCTGGTGGAAGCTGCAAATGACAAAAACCTGTGCTTACCTTTGCGAAATGGGTTTCATGGTCTAATAGCAATCACGACCCTTGGTTCGCCACCGCCTCCACCCAGTGACCTGCTCCAACGGCTGACAAATTTTATACCAGCGGTTGTGTGGAGATCAGTGCAGGGTCTTCCTCCAGTGATAGCTGGTCCAGGCAACTAGGACCTTTAACCTTAGCCTGGTTGTCCTCCATGTGCGCCCAGGTTTTGCTTACTTTCTTTATTTAATGTGTATCAAGGAGGAGATTATTCCTTTATCCTTATTGATTTTTATGTGTCTAGATTTATTTATTTAAGTGATTAAATTCAAAGAAAGGTGGTTAAATTTAAAATAAACCATTTTTCACTTTCTTTTTATTAAGAATATGTTGCTAAAATGTACATTCAGTTATTAGTCTGGGGAAAAAACAAACATTTCATCGTCATAAAATTTTCAACTATGTCAACCAGCCCCAATCTACAGCACATAAATGACTTCGATGTCAGTATGTATGTTGACCAGTCAGCACATGTTGTACAGGACAGCTACAAACAGATGACAGCAGAAAGTGCTCCTATAAACTTATCTCTGACCCTCATCAATCAGAACAGTAAAGCTGCAGCAACATAAGGGAAAGCAGAGGGTGTCAGACACTAACGATGACCTGTCTTCTTCTTGAGCTGTTTTTCTAACATTTTGTACAAGTTGACTTGGAACGCTGTAGGTCAAAGAGGAGACGGGGTGAGATGAAGGAGGGGACATTACTCTCCTGTCAAACTCCTATCAGCACGCCGCTTTCCTCTGTTGAACTTTGCTGAATGGAAACAGGATTGTTTTCAGAAGTTTCATTTGACAGTGATTGAGATCTTCCTGCACTCTGGCATATAACCTCTAAAGCCGAGAGCTGAGCCTCCATTACAATCAGTCTCGTCTGTCTGCTCCCTCCAAGTCTGGTCTTTGTTCTCCTTCTGTCTCCCCCTCTCCCCCACCTTCCTCTCCAACACATCGTTTTCATCGCGCCTCTTTCTCTCTGTTTTTCACTCCCAATCATAAACCTAGGCATTTTACATTTTGAGTAGGGCTGTGTTCTCCAAAAAAGTAACTGTGCTGTATATATGAGCGGGTTCAGACCTGTGTCACCAGGTTTGATTGCATGAAAATAACAAAAGGCAAAACTACAAACAGAAACAGACAAAACAGCAACATAATTTGCCACAGCTACTTACACTGTAATTGAGTGAGATTCAGAACTTGATTCAGTTGGAAATTAAATGAATAATGTATATTTCTTTTATTAAAAACAATTACCACACAGCTTTCATTTGCATGTACATTGCCACCACTTGGGGAACATATAATGAATGTAGCTCTCAAGTATATTCAAGCGGCTGTTTACTGCATCAGCACTATTCTGCGTATTCTGAAAAAGCAATGATGATTACCATTGAAGAATAGGTCAAAGGAGACTTCGTTTTGCATTTAAAAAGCAGAACTTCAATAGGTTCCATTAATTTGAGTGTGGCCACTGGCCATCTTCGTGTATAATTTTTAGACTGCTCTTTCCAATACAAAAGCATATAATTTTCCTTGAATAATAACAATAAAAGCCTGTAATTTTCTCCCGCTTTTTTTTTTTCTTCAGTCCGTGTATCATCACAACATTTCATGAACTCGAAGATTAACGACTAATGCCATTATGTTATGAGGAGCTTTGCAGGCCAAAATCTCCTATTTACAGCCATGTCTTCTTAGTCACTTATGACAGCAGCTAGCCAGACACAAAGCAGGCTCAGTGAGCAGAGCAAAAGACAACGTTATGGTATTAGTCAGATTTGAAAAAGTCATCTTTGTCTGTTTTAAAAGAATTTTCAGTTCTCGCCAGTGTGAAAACGTTTTAATTATTACTCTCTTTTTTTCCCCCCCAATTAATCTACTTATATTAATAATGAATGCTCTACCAATTGTGGCCTCTTCCCAGTTGGACTAAAGTCAAGTTTGAAGTTAGTTCATAGCCCACCAAAAACGTACATTCGACTTCCATTGTGAGGTTAGACTCAGGAGCACCTCAACTGATAATCTGAATAATCGACTTTTAGGAGACAGCCCTACTGGAGACCTCCTTTGTCACAGAACCACGTTTAATAGTTAAGATTTTAAACTAAAATATATCTGGCATAATCTGCCGGATAAATCACAGTCATATTTTTTAGACCAATTGGCCCATTAAGTTTTAATTGTTCTCACAGGCGCACTTGTATCTCTCACCCCAGTTGTAAATTCTGAACTTTAAAGACTGTCCAAGGCTCCCCTGGCTACCTTACAAGAAAGTCGCATCACATTTGTCCTGTCACAAAGCCGCCCCCTGTCAGGTCGCATTAATTTCTAGAGACCTCAGAAAAAGAAAAAAAAAAAAAGAAGCTGCCGTTTGTGGTTTCTGTGTCATGACAGAGCTGCATCCGGACATCTGCTCTGCCACTTGGTGGGACAGCAAACTATTTAATGCCTTAATCCGCCCTAAGCTGTGGCTGGAACCCCCTGGTGACTGCCGCATGCTGCACCAACAACAACCAGCTCCATTCATCAACCTAATGGGCTTTATATTTTTAACCCTTGCCATTTATCAGGCTGAGGCAGCGTGATGAGGGGAGAGAGGAGGATCAAATTCCCCAACGCTTGCTTCGGCTCAACAGGGAAACCGTTGATTCATGGTCTCACTTCCCTTTCACATCACTCTTTTTCTCTCCTGTCGTTTCCCATCACTCCCTGCTGTTGTGAGCCTCCTCTCCCCGCTCTCTTCAAGCATCCTTATGTATTCTATCAAGCTACCTTCATTTTTTCCCCCCTCGCTCCCTGTGGATGTTTTCTGCACCCCATTCTTCACCAGTTCCTCCTCCTAAAGCTCCTGTCCCCTCCCATCTTCCTCCCTTTCTCTCTTTCTTTACTTAATTTTCCTCTTCCATCTCTTCCCCTGTATTCCAGGACTTTGGGGATGATGGCTCCCTGTACATCACCAAGGTGACAACCATCCACATGGGGAACTACAGTTGCCATGCCTACGGCTATGAAGACCTCTACCAGACACATGTGCTGCAGGTGAATGGTCAGTAGTGGCTCATTTCTTACTTACAGTGGTGGGAGAAGTGTGGACAAAGTGCTTTGGTTTTGTTTGTGCTACTCTGTGGTTCCCCAGTGAGGGTTCCTTTTCTTGTTTCATTGTTCTGTTTATAATAAATAGGTCAAGTGATTGGCCTGGTAAACATTCATGTACAATCAGTTGTTTTGTAATCCTTGGGCCTTGTGGTTAAAGAACTGTTTCAGAGGCAATTAAGCCAGCATGCTGTTGATTGAAATGTCTGGGAACAAAATATACTTCCCCAAAGCACCAATATGCAGACATAAACAGCACTGTGCAAATGCTACAGGTACATTAGATGTGTAAATACTGTCACACACACAGACACAGATTCATAAAGATTGATATTCAGGAATAAGAACTACTAAGAGTCCTGCTCTCCTGTTGTAAGACTTCCTAAAAGTGGAACAGGAGCTAAATCACAATCCCATCCAATCAAATCAGATTGAACCATAGGGCTTTTCTAGCACTACAAAGTTTCATCTGATCTACATGAGTATTTCCAACCTTTAATGCAGTAAAAGTGGTGTGAGTCGTCAAATAAGCCACACTGTTACTGTGTTTCATGAAGCATTGACAACCAAAGTGACTAAATAAATTGTTACAGTGTTGTTATTAGGTTTTTACAATTTGTCAAGACCTAACTTTATGTGGGTTAAGTGTTGTGTGTGTGTTAAATAATACATTAATTTTCTCTCTTTTGTTTGTCTTATCTGGGGCTAACTTTAATTGTTGGCATATCTTCCTCTTATTTTCTTGAATAAATAATCATTTGTTTTGTCTACCAAATGTCAGCCAGACGAAAGTGAAACACCCAAAGACATGTTGTGTAACATTAAATATGACAACAAAAAGCATCGTGCTTTCACATTTGAAAAGGTCGAACCAGGGGAAGTTTGGCATTTTTGCTCGAAAATGACATAAAGCAATTAGTTAAATATGAAATTGGCTTATTAATTTCATCTATCAATTCGTCATTTCAGCACTCATTTGTTATAACACTGTTTGGTCCTGATTATGTAGGTCTTCCTTTATAATGCGATAATAAAGGGATTTTTTTAAAGAAGTTGCTTTTTAAAAGGCTTGGTATCTGCAGATATAAAATATGACTTAAACATGTTGTTAATACAAGTGCCTCATAGGATCAGAGCAGCATTAAAGTAGCACACTCACCATTGAAAACAGCGTCATCACATATTAAGCAAATAGAAACAGGAGTCATCATTTGTCAGTAATTCTGTAAAAGTAGAAACAGCACTCGCAATGATTTTGTTGAGCTGAACCTATCCAAGCACTGTTTCCTGCAAATAACCCTTTGAACTCCAAGCAGTTTTGTTCGTTTTTGCTCGTGTCACTTTTTTACTAACTGTGGAGTCATTTCTCAGGGGTTACCGATATCAGAAATATCACAATTCTAAGCTTACTTTTCAAACTTTTCACGGCATGTGAGCAGTTCGAGAATCATCACCAGTGGATTTTGGGATTCAGGAGGTTAAACATCTACATTACGGGCCTTCACCTCTACTAAGTTTAGACTTGAAAGTTGTTACTGTGCCTCTCTCCAAAGAAAATCTAAGGAGGAAGAATTTTAAACCTGTAATATAACAAATCTAAGATACCATTCAGCCACTTCAATTATTTTTTTATTTTTATGCTTTTGTTTCAGCGTGACAGATAAGAAAATGAGGTATTTTTAAAATTCAATTAAGGTTGTTTCAGTTAAAGAGAGACAAAAGGTGTTGTGTTTTTCTGAGATTTTAATTGAAAAGAAATAAGCTGCATTTTAGACCTGAAGGCGGAGAGGGGGAGTGATTCAAAGAAAGTCACAGAGACAGACAGCGTGCCTGAAGGGCAAGTTATCAGGAGAGGGCAATTACCAAATGTTTGTGTTGGGGATTCAAGGTATTTCAAATGAGATAGGACGAGGTGAGATAAGGTGGAATGGAAAGGAGCCAAGTGCCACATTATACTAAGTGGGCGGTTTGCATCCCGTTGCGTGATTAAAGCAATAGACATTCTTTCTTTGCTGTGATGAGAAGAATGACAATGATTGAGCTCCAGTTTTTTTGTGAAGTGTCCACAGTGTAGTAGTCTATGGTGTTATCAGACCCTAGGGTATGATATCAGTACTGTTCAGAAAAGTCATCAGTATTAAAAAGGGCCAAAAGGAAGAGTTGCTGCAGCATTGTGGCAGCAAAACAGGAAAAAAATAACACAGAAGATACACACAGAGAGACAAACTGTGCTACAAAGATTCTGTCAAGGAGAGGCATAGCTGAAAGTGGAAGTACAGAGGTGTAGTGTGTGTGGGAAGATGCGATGGATCATTTACTTGCAATATGTGTAGATATTAACCATCTGTAAATAGGAGCAAAAGATGTGAAAATAACAACTGCTGTTCCCCAACTGGAAAGAGTCACAAGTCAAAAAGGTTGACATCCATTGTGTTTAATCTTTTTAAAACATAGCAATTTTTAAAAAAGAAGAAGAAGAAGAAGTAACTAGTATCTATAGTTGTCAAATAGTTGCAGCAAAGTGTACAAAACATCCCTCTTAAAGTGTAAGCTGAGATAAACTGGAAAACCAAGCAAATACAGCTCACTCCACGGCTGATGATAATTAAAAAAGAGAGACTTTAGGGGGAAAAGAACAACAGTAAAACACACAGAGCAAGCAACAAATGCAATATTAATATTGCAGGAGGATTAAGGGGCACGTTTGTAAATTAAAAGGGAGAGGTGGCAGAGCTCGTGCAGGGAGGCGCCGTCAAGATCTGGCAGCTGCCCCGAGGTTGAGAGGGTGCCCGCATCGTAATCCGAATAAAAAATGACATCTTACCTGTTCATGTAAACTATTACCTCATATTTCATTTCCCCCTCGATTCCTCCACATTCATTTGCGGTCTTCTCCCCGGAGGAGGTGGTAAGTGGCAGATACGTCCCAACATCTATTTCGTGTAGGACTCGAGCTGTAATAAAGCAGCCCCAGAGCGCTCGGATTCTTGTTATTTGTGAATATATTCACATTCCATGCTGGGGTGAGACAAATTCCTCTCTGCCCACTGCGTGTGTGGGTGTTTGTGTTATATTCCCCTAGGAGTTATGGTCTACCATGAAACAGTGTGTAATTATGTTTTCACTTGTCCCTGTCCTCTCTCCTTGTTTGTGTCTTGGTGTTTGTGTTTGTGTGTCCAGTCCCTCCAGTGATCCTGGTCTATCCAGAGACGCAGGCCCAGGAGCCCGGCGTATCTGCCAGCCTCCACTGCCACGCCGACGGCATCCCAAATCCCAAACTCCTCTGGCTGAAGAACGGCATGGATCTGCAGCCCAGATCTTCCAAACAGCTCTCTCTCATAGGTGAGGAGTGTTTGATTATTTTGGGGAGTGCTGTCAGCGTATTTTGTGCTGTAACAGACACAGTGTGTCACATCTCATTGGACCAGTGTTACGTACGAGCAGCACTGCTGTGGTCTGCCAACACTGCATAAACCTTTAGAAACCGAGACGATGCAGTAATGTGGGCAATGAAAACAAAGCTTAAAAATCAAGCTGTTGTTTCTCAAAGTAACTTTTTTTTTATTGGAAACTAAGTGTTGCCACTAGTCAGCAGTAATATTTTGTTGTGCTTTGCATTTTATTTACATTGTGTACCGCAGAGATGAAACCAAAATTGTGGTCACCCTCTGTTTTCATTTTGCTCCGCTGGCAAACATACTTATTCTTTCGAAGTGAATGAGCAGAGAGATCAAGAGAGTGAAAATAAAATGAAATATACTCTGTGACAGGAGTCGGTAGCTACTTATCTGGGTTAGAAGAGCTTTTTTTTTTTTTAAAGATGCACTCTCGATATCAGAGAGAAGGAGCAGAATGGAGCACGACTTTTCTTTTTATGGCCTAGTTCTCATTAAGGGAGAGTTTATTGGCTGTGTGTGGGTCATTACCTATGGTAATAGCCTGTTATCAACCCGTAGACACTCAGACAAGGGAGGTTCTGCAAGGTTCACCACCATATAAACACTGCAGTGTCTACGGTTTCAGATTTACCAGCTAATGCAGGCGATGGCAAGGGGCAGAAGTCCTACTTAGAGTGATAATTTGTGCTTTTTCCATTAAAAACATTTACAAAGGTGAGAAGAATAGTGTGGGAAAGTAGATTAAGTAGTGCAGATTTCCATTCTGTTGTAGCAATGGCTGAGACAAAGAAAAAACATGTAATTTCCCCATATAACATCGGAGGTGTAATAAAGATAGTGTTAAAGTCCCTATCATAAATTTTTGATAGATTTCAGTAAAATCTGAACAACACACTGACAGTAGATAGTCCCAAGTATTGATTGTAAGCCACAGTTGAACAGTGAAGGGAAGAACTGTTTTGTGTTGCTGACTGACTGAAACTGAGCCGTGGAGCTGTCCACGGTGCTGAAGCCACTGGAGCTTGTAGCAGATCTCTGCTTGATATTCCCTGTAGTCTGTTCCAAAACAAACCACTGCAAACACAGCTGCAGGGATACCTTGATGTGAGACATAGATCATCTCTCCAAACCAGATGCACTGTGGGAAGAAGGTTTGGTGCACCTTTCCAAACTGCTTTCAAATGAATTAGGCAATTATCACTGTAGACTGTGTGTAAAGGATGACACTAGCCTCTAGGTCTGAGAAATAAAACAATGCTGAGGTACCTTAACCCTCTGAGCCCCAAAACACATAATTACACCACTAATCAGGACTAGAAACCGTAAAAAAAGAAATAAAAATGTTGGATTTTCCACTTTCCAATAGTCCTTAAACTACTTAATCAAAAAACCTACCCAAATCTTTACTTAAATGTGTGATATTTCATCAAAATCACTGTTGTCTCAGCAAAAATAAACCTCTATCCAGATTGTAAGAAAAAATAAATAAAAAATTGCCATCCTTGGTGCAACCATAAAGCCAATATTGACTCAGCTGCCACCGACAGTCACGTGACAAAAATTTAGGGACCTTTTAGCGTAACTGCAGGCTGTCATTACACAGAGTAGATAGGAGACAAGTATGGAACAAATTCAAAATCGAAGTAGAGACATATGTATAGTAAGTAGAGTCACCACTCCTGTGTGCACTTGGCAAAATGTTGTAAATGTTGATTCCAAGTGTTTTCACTTTTCCTGAACTAAATGACCTAAGAAATTCAATGTCTTTTCTTTTTTTTTCCTTCTATCATTTGTGCCATTCAAACTTTGTTATACTGCTTAGAACACATATTTGAGTTCTCCCTTCTTCTAGCCATGACTGTACAGTTTCCTTAAAGCAATCTGTCTAAAACCCAGCAGAGAATGACACCTGTGATTGCAAAAAGAAGTGTCACTTTAATGGGCATCTCAGTAAAAGATTTTCCAAATGAGCCTTTGGTCATGCTAGTTTCAAGTCATTTTGAATACAGCACGATGTTAATTTTGTAATTGGTAGTCCCCTTTAGAGTCAAATAGTTGACAAAGCAGGGTTTATTTTAAACAGTAGTGCACAAACCAGTAGGTGAGGTTGCATTTGCATGAAGAAAAACTGTGTGTTACATGTCTGAATTGTTTAGCAATAATAATGAGGACACAAACAATTATCTAAAGTGACATGGAAGCAGCTGAAACTACATCAAGTAGATGCATGGACAGATTAGCATCACTGTTTGTGTCTGTGTGTATGTCTAGATTCTCCTTCAGCATAAAGGACACGGGGTCATGTAGCCTACTCACACAATACACAGCATAATGTTCAAAATTTGGTGACTATTTTGGTGTATTACATTGTTAATAGAAGGTGTCACAAGAGTCTAATCACTTCTGATCCTCAGTGTATTGTATCTAATTCTGTTATTTCTTTTATTTACACTTTCTGCGAGTGAACCCAAGCAGTTAAGTTATTTGCTGCGAAAAAAAATGTAATGAAACTGTAAAATGTGCTTCAAAGCTCAGGAGAGCTAACAGGAGCTGCTGAGTCAGGTGACATGTCCTGTTCACCTATGCAGTAATCCATCTATGGGGAGTAAGTTAGGAGAATGAATTTAATTCAGTTTACAATGAAACCAGTCAAAAGTCCTGTCCCCACAAAGAGCTACAAACCTGAAAAACAAGGATATAAAGGCTAATTTAATGAGTGGTTGATTCAGGGGTTTTTAATAAGAATTGATCAGAGCATAATTATGAATTAGAAGTAATTAAAGTGGTGTCTCATTCTATGAAGGCCTGCTTTAAGGCAGTTTTCACTTCAAAGCATTTCGCACTTTTCCCCTGATAAAAGAGAATTATTATCAGAATCCAAAAGACATTTCACTAATGTGAAAAGCTTTGCGTCAATGTCTGTAATGTCGTGTGATTTTGCAACCCAGTAGGCATAAATTAGAAGGTCGAGATAATTTTTTTTGATGTAAAAATGGAGCACAGCATGTTTTTTGGAAGCTTTATTGCTGTTTCAAATTTTTAAATATTACATTTTCAAGTTTCAACTGGTAGAAAGAAGAATGAACCCAACATGACAGGGACTGAGGGGATGTCATACGAGTTCGTTGTTCTCATAGCAGCTTCAAGAGATGTACGGGAGGGGATGAAAAATAAAGCTTTCTTTAATGTTCTAACACAACATGGCCCGTGAAAGCTCCACCGTGACACTTACACATCATGTAGCCGGTGTAGTGCTACAGGATCAGAGTGCAGCTGTACATCACAGAGCCCGATGCTACAGCAGACATCAGAGAGGTTGCCTCTGATGACCTCTGTCTCTTAACTCCACCAACATCACCCGTCACCACAGACTCCAACTTGAAACAAACAATGCTGCATTGTACAATATGCAATGAAAAATAAAGGTAAACTTCACGCAAATATGAAGAATACTCTAGCGAAATACAAGAAAAGTTTGTAAAAAATCAGCAAAGAATGACATCAAGGTTACTTTGTGATTCAGACAAACTCAGTCTTAGAAGATGTTATCTGTTAGCACTATAATGTCTATTATAAGGTATGCTTTCACCACATTTGGATATACAGATGCAGACCGGACACAACAGTGTGCTATAGGAGGACATATGGAGACAGACAGAGAGGATGAGGATACTTATGGACACAAGATGAAGTCATATTTTATTGTATCGTATTCATTTTTTTGCCTAGCTCGAAACAAACACTGTACCTAAAGGAAAGCACGGTTTATTTTTGTTGCCCTTGCCGTTGTTTACTTTGTCTGGTATTCATAACATTCATTCCTCAGCATCTGTAGGAAACATTATGGGCCCGTGTTTATTTATTGTCACTTTATTCATGTTGCTGGGTTTTGTTTTGAACATCACATTTGGTTGATCATGAACGTGAGCGACTACCTGATGAACACATTTAGCTTTATTTCTGTAGGCTCCGTCAGATTACTCGCACACACTTTCAGACACTTTTACTACTATGGAGAATTTAAATGTGTGGATATGCTGTATATATACGGTAAGTATGTACATTTATTGTCAGGTAATTTGTTCCAGATTTTTGGAGGGTCTTTGGCTAAAAATGTCAGCTTTTTTTTTCTGCATAAACCCATAAACAGTTGAACTAATGCAGCAACAAAAAACTCTCAGAAAAACACCTGATTTTTTTTCCTCGTTTCATTTCATCTCATAGCAAATGGCAGCGAGCTCTTCATTGGCAGCGTCCGGTACGAGGACACTGGAGCCTACACCTGCATCGCCAAGAACGAGGTGGGAGTGGACGAGGACATTTCCTCACTGTTTGTGGAGGATTCGGCCAAGAAGACCCGTAAGTCCTACAGTGTCACATTTTATGGTGGAAAATAAAATTTAACGCAGTGACAGTAACTTGTCGTTTCCATGTTGACTGGTTAGTCGATCTGCTGTCATCGGACCAAACTCTCAGTGACGGTCTGTGTTTTTCAACTCTCAGCCGACCTAACAGTGACTATTAGATCTACCATATATAACGTTTACTGAACTAATTGACAACATGTTAAAGCAGTTAGTGTGGCTACATTTTGTTAAAGCAGGTTGCCAAAATGTGGAGTTTAAACTCTGCAGCAGTTTGAAAATTCCAGCTTAACAACTGACATGACACATCGTCTAAAAATGACCGGCTTGTCTATTTTATATTCCTCTGCAGTTCTTTTACTAGTATATCATGAGCTGTTATATTTCTGTTTTCAGAAATCATATGAATATGGGCAGGTGCGTGCTCTTCAGCTGGGAGTCTGTTATCATCTTAGTGTAAAATAACCAGAATAAAATGATTTAATATGCTGCAAATACTTGCTTTTTATTTCTAATTAAGTTAGACTAATAAGGCCAGCAGGTAGAGTGCACTCAGTGTGCTGTGGCTGATTTATTTAATCTAGCGATAACATGATTTTATTTTTCACCTCTGCGAGCAGATACAGTTTAGTTAACTGAGGTTTTCTGTGGTTGACTACATCCCTAGTAACTTTACATTAACATGTCTTATCTATGTAAGCAGTGTTCCAAAAATTAATCAGGACCTTCATTTGTTGCTGCAAATTGCACGGTTTTGTAAGCTGACAAAAATCTTAATGGTTTTCAACAATGTATAAGTGATGCAAGTTACACAAAGATAAGATCCGAGCACAGCAGCAGCAACAGTAGCTTCAGTTCTTCACCCATGTCTACACAAAATGTAGCTCATCACCATTAATTAGAAAACCTCTAGAGAGTAAAAAAGAAGCACCTCATTTTAACGTCTTGAATGAGATGGATGCCTGAAAGAAATGTTCAAATACCGCCATGCCCGTACAGATGTTCTATACATCTCCTGCATTTTAACCACAATAACCACAAAAGGTAATAAACGCAAAACTCCTTAATCAGTGAGCTAATCCCTTTTGCTTTCAGATTGCAGAGACATTAAGGCAAAATAAACAGGAATGGATAATACATTAACAGTGAAACAGCAGTGCAGCCCACTAACACCACAGAGTCAAAGTTCTACCACAGCTGCACTTAAGAGCCGGGCTTCTTTTATGGTAATGCTGAGATCAGACCTCCCAGAACCAGCTCTATCTGGTCCAGCCCCGTGGGTTTCCAGATCAAAAATGAATGCCAGACACACCAATTGCTCATTTTTTATCTTATTTCTTTAAAGTGGGAGACAACAGATGGATCTGGGACATCTCACAGTTTGATGGCTTATACGATGTGTTTGATGTGAATGACCCACGGGAGAACAGAGAGAGCTCTTCATGAGAAATACAACTTTATTGTATTTCAGTCAACCTCTAACCATTTCACTACCACCACGAACACAATACCAAAAATAATTACTCCTGTGGGTGTGCACACATTTACAGTTTTTCAGGAAAGTATTCAGACTCCTTCACTTTTGCAATTTTAAATTAATAAAATTGCTCTTTGGTCCCATCAGTCAACCCTCAATAACCAACAATGACAAAGTGAAAAAATGTTTTTAGAAACCTTCACAGACTTATTCGTAATCCAAAACTGAAATTCCTCATTTCCAAAAGAAAATAAAGAAGTACTTTACCAAAACCTCTTTGGCATCAGTGGCAGTTCAAACCTTCGTGGGTAAGTCTCTACAGGCTTTGCACACATGGCTTTGGACAGTTTATCTTATTCTCTGTGGCAGATCCTCTCAAGCTCCTTCAGATTGATTTGGAAGCATCTGGGAACTGTCAACCTCGGGTCTTTCCACAGATGATCTATGGGGTTTAAGTCTGGGCTTTGACTGGACCACTCAAGGACAGTCAGATGCTTGTCCTGAAGTCACTCCACCATTGTCTTGATTGTATAATTTGGGCTATTGTTGTGCTGTAAAGTGAACCATTGCACCAGATAATTTGAATTTGGAGCAGGTTTTCTTGAGGACTTCTGTGTATCTGGCTGCATTCAATCTTCTCCAGTCCCTGCTGTTAAGAAGAGGCCACCAGCGTACTTCACAGTATCCCATATGATAACTAGAGCGTGGTGTTCGACAGACATAACGCTTGGAGTTCTGCCTAAACAGTTACATTTTTATTGCACTGAATCAGACGATCTTATTCTACGTGTTTCATGGTCCTGAAAGCAGATTTCCAAACTTCAGACTTGTGTCTTTCACATGGAGTGGCGTCTGCTTGCTTCTCTACTAGAAAGGCCTTATTGATGGAGAGCAGCTAAGACGTTTGTCCTTCTGGCAGGTTCCTCGTCCCTGCAGAGATCTTCTGAGGCTCTTTCGGAGCGTTTAAATGGTGGGTTCTTGGTCACCTTCCTGACCAAGACCCTCCTTGCTCAGTTACTTTTTTTGCCAGCCAGCCAACTCTCAGAAGAGTCCTCAGTGGTTCCAAATCTCTTCCATTTCTGTTACTTATGCCTCATTGCCTCTGGGAACACTCTAAGCTTTAGAAATAGTTTTATAAGCTTGCCCTGATCTTTGCTTTGCCACAATTCTATCATGGTGGTCTACAGAGAGTTCCTTAGACTATATTGCTTAGTTTTCTTCTTGGCAAACAGTGTGAATTGTTAAACCTTTCATACACAGGTGTGCGCCTTTCAGAACTGTCCAACTACATCATAAGTGGACTCCAACCAGGTTCCACTTGAATCTAGTTTACAAAAAAAGATGCATTTGACCACAACATGGACTGTCATAGTGAAGGGTCTAAATACTATTGTTAATGAGAGATTTCACTCTTATAAGAAATTTGCATAAAATTCTAAACAAATTCGAAAAAAAAATGTCAGTATGGGTTATTGAGGTTATTGATTGAGGGAAAACAGCTTATTTTATTCTTTTAAAATGTAATTTCCAATGCAATGGTGTGTGAAAATAGTGAAGAAGTCTGAAAACTCTGAAGTGACTGTACATTTGTTGCATCCAAATGTCTCTTCTCTACTGACAGAAAAGAAAAGACACATTCAGCACAAAGTGAAAAACAATTTTGTTGGTGCCGTCGAGTAGAACAGTGAAGTCGGTCTGTGCTTCAGAGGCAGGACACAATGATTGATCAGAGTCTACAGTGTCAAAGATCTTGAAGCCAGTCAAAAGAAGAATTTACAACACAGCCCTAATCTGAATATTGCAAAAATCTAAAACTATTTATAATCGGATCCAAGATGAGGTGATCTATGGATCGTTTAATGTCTCATTTCATTCTGTTTTCATGACAAATCACTGCAAATGGTTAGTTAGGGAAAGGTGATCACTACAGAAAGTCTAAAAACCAAACAAGACTTTCTGCATTTTTTTTTTTTTTTTTCATATTTTCTGTGTGGCATGAACAAAAACACAATCTGACAGGACGATCCAGTTGGATTTCTTTCTGTGTTTTCATAATGCAAAAGGATCAATTCTCTGTTCTGACTATGTGGTCAGTGTGAGGGGCTCTGCTCAATTTTTTTGAAGTGATCTCACTAAAAAGAAAGTTTTAAACAATCAGCTCACATATTTTATGTTTCTTTGATATTCTGTCTTTCATTAGATTGCATCATTGTAATGAGTGAATGATAGCTACCTAGAAACAGCTTACCAGGCCAGTTCAAATTAAACTGAATAATCGATGCCTTGTCTTCTCTCAAGACAAGCGTGATCTCATGATTTGGGAGGAAATATGGACCTGTCAAGAGCAGTGAGGAACATTTTGTAGCTGTCAAATATGTTTTTTCTTGACTTGGCATGAGATAAATCACCTCTTGTTTCTTGGAAGACGTCTCTTTTTTCTTAGGGTGAATTAATGTTTATCCCTTCTTTTACCCTCCTTTCTTTTCTTTTCTATGGCTCAACGGCTGATTCTGCAGTTGCAAACATTCTGTGGAGAGAAGAAGGTAATACATTACAGTTCTCAAACTGCCTTTGTATTCTTTTGAATAAGAAACTGCAGCGAGCATGTTTTGTTCAGGCTCTTCGGGGCCTGCAGCTGGATATTTACAACTTCCCAAGATGCTTGCCCTGCTGTCCAGAAGAATCACAAAGTTCCTTTCTCCCCAGCAAAACTTTTCTTCAAGTCTTGCTTTCCTCCCTTGCATGCCTAAAGTGTTTCATCCCGTTGCTGCTTTCTAATACTTTTTTTTTTTTTTTTTCTCAGATCACCTAGGGGGGAACACACAAGCAGGGGTTTCATGTATTTTGCAAATAATACCACAGACCCAGGGTGGTGGCTGGAATAAAAATAACTTTGTGGTTTTCAGCAGTATACAAATCCAGCCTGTCTTTATGCTGTATATATTATTACCACATCAGCATTACCACAAGTAGAGTTTTACTACTTTATTGGAAAACCCACTGCGGTTTAGAGAACACTACAAACCTAATCTGTTTTACATACATCACCGCCACATCAGGTTTACCACAAAAATAAAGGGAACCAGTGGTTTAGAGTACAGTGTAAGCATTTGGATTATTTTAGAGTGTTTGTCAGCACTGGGGAACTATATTTGCCTCATTAACACTGTGTGTTGCGTGTGAGCATAAGTGCTTGTTTTTGTGTCTGTATGGATACGTGCTCGTGTAGTTTGCATATTTTTTTTCTGACAGTATGCCTCAGACTGTTGAGCACTACACATTCTCTGACATCTGACAGTGTGAAAGTGCAAAAATAATATCTTAACAGCCTGACAAATCAATCACCACCAGTTTTTGTCTATGCATGCATCTGCTAAATGCTTCTGCAAGCGTGTATACATGCTTATGCTCATCATCTCTGCTCATGTGATATATTTCTGACAGCAGTAGGAGCTTGTTGCTCATCCAAATGCCTTAACAGCAGACTCTAGGTTTTTTTTTAAGGTGATCCTTTTTTTTGGCAGTTTTCCTTTATTATATAAGTGCAGTATAGACAGACAGTAAAGGTGGGGAAACAGAGGAGTGACGTGCTGTAAAAGTCCAGCCAGCCTGGAATTGGTTTGGTGACTCACTGCTTATGTGGTGTGCACCCTGCGCCCTCGGCTATCAGGTTGCCCCAGACTGTGATCCTCGCTATCTCATCAGCTGCTGTTTACACCAAGAAGACAAGATGTGAAATGTTTCCTCACACAGACAGTGTCTTTAATTTGATAGCTCTGAATACAGTAGGCTGTGGACACATTGCTGAAAGGGCCCTTGGTAGGCATTGTCAAAGCAACCGGCAGCCACACACTGCCCCTCCCCGCTAACATGATAGCACGTTAACGGCAGTCTGCTTATGTCTTCTCCGGCAGGAAAATTGAAATGCCGTTCACCAACGTCAGATGAGATGGGAGTGGGATTTTCTGCAATTTTTAATTTATATTTGTTGCTTTGTTAAAAAAAATAATAGTAATTAAAAATGGTCAACATTTTTTTCTGTCTTGTCTTCCAGGACTGAGTGTGGGGAACATGTTCTACGTGTTTTCCGATGAGGGCATCACCGTGCTTCAGCCCAGCGAATGTGAAATACGCAGACATATGAAGCGGACAGAGAGGATCGTTGCTACCTATGTGAGTGCATGTAGATTTAATAGTGAAATAAATTAAATAAAAAATTAAGCACACAAAAAAAATCCACATGCGCTAATGAGTGGCCGATAGTTTCGCTTCGGGCTCCTTCCATTTTTCATTAAATACATTTCAGGATGCCTGTGTTCAGAATTGCTGAGCCAGTGACTTTAAAAATCAAATTATGTGTGAGGCAGAAAGATGCCACTTAGTGTATGTTTTTATATTAAGGATGGCAAGCAGTCATCACATCAGGTACACAAGGAAGAGCCTCTCATTCCCAGTGAGCCAAAGGTCCTAATTAGACCGTTGTACCTAAATACAGAAGGACTGTAAGGTAGCAGTTGTTATGTGCCTCAAAGTGAATACATAACTGTCTGTTAACATCTCAGTTTTGTCCTAGCTCAGTGAACACATTGAGTGAGTCTTTGAGCCCCTGTCGATCTAAAAAATCAATCTGTTCAGCCATCTTTATACTATATTTACTCATTCAAGTCGACTGTGGAAGGAAATTGCGACCAAAATCAAGGCCATGCTTCCTCCTTCTCCTCTGCCTGTTGTCAGCATGGCTCCTCACCCTACTAAATGTAATGGGATTACTTGTGTCCATTAGTCAACAACACGCAACAATAGAGCGTATAGACTCTATACCGCCGACCCTGGGGTTTTTAATCCACGAGAGAACAGCCCTCTCCCAGAGCAAGGGGCGTTAGATGGTAAAAGTTGCTTGTTCCTCTGAGGGATTTGGGTTTTACAGGAGCCTGTAATTGTATTAGAGATCAATACAAACTCAGTAAGCCATGTGTTAGCCAGTTCCTGCTATAAACAGCAGTTTCTCCACTTTGGTGAGGTGGAAACTCATGCAACCTTTGTGTGTGTGTGTGTGTGTGTGTGTGTGTGTGTGTGTATGTGCATTAGTGATTACATCAGTATATATAGTGCAAGCGTGTGCATAAGTGTCTTGTCAGCAAAGATGGTGGGCTACAGGGCCTGTAGAGGAGCTGTGCTACTTGGTGGTACATGAATCTGTTGATATTTGACTCAAATTGATGTGATGTCTAAAACTGTAAGAATGGAAACACTGGTTTTCTAAGTGACAAAAATGACCATAAGTTACTACCAATACCAGTAATCAGTTAGACAATTAGTAGAATCCGTATTAAAGGTATGATTGAAATTAAACATACAGATGTAAAGACAGCTGCATGCAAAATGGTTTAACCCTCTCAACCCCAAGCAGTTTCTTTGTGCATTTTTTTTGCTTATATCACAGTTTTGCTTGCTGTGGGCTAGTAACTACAATATAGAGTCCTGTCACCTCTATGGAAACAATGCTGTTGCGGATAACAGTAGAGCGAACTCTTTTTTTCCCTTCTTTGTAAAAAAGTTATAATGACATGAATCTGAAAAAAGAAAAAGGAAATCATGCGTTTGATTACTTTATTCTAAAAAAAATTGGAGGAAAAAAACTGGAATCAACATGTTAAACATTTTAAGGTGCCCACAGGTGGAAAAAATGGCATTTCTACATACTATAGATATTTTACTAGTTATATTTTTAATGTTTTTCCACACTTGTTTACCGCGTACACACAGCCTGCAGTTCAGCCCAGTCTAGCCAAAAAGTCCACTAATTTTTGTCAGCTGACTGTTTGTTGCATCCGATTCACTAAAAGCTTCATGGTTATGCTGAGGAGTGCAGACCTTTTTGGGGTTTATTTTTATTTTTATTTTTTATTTTTTTATTTTTTTACAGAATCTTGATGAAGTGAACTTTTGATTGAAACTTGTACAATGCAGTAACGGTGAAATATCATGATCATATCATGATTTTAAAATTAAATTTGGTTATGCTTTCCGACAGAACAGCACATCGCCAAAAACCTTTAAAGACCGTTAGAAAGTTAAAAGTTTGATCATTCTTTTTGGTTTTCCTGTTTCTGGTTCTAATAAATGCTGTAATTTTGGCCCCCAAAAAATATAGATAATATGGTTTTCTAAGCTGCTGTCAGATTTTGGAGTTCAGAGGGTTAAATAAATAACATGATGTGTTTTCACTTGACCTAATATATTACTCATCAAAATAATTTTAAAACAATAAAACATTGAATAATTTGTCAAGTAAAGAAGCAAGTAATCACTGTTGTCTGTTCCTCAAATGTGCAGATTTCTGCTTTTTGTTCTTGGACTTTTTATTTGATTATAAACTCACTATATTTGGCTTTTCACCAACTTTCACGTCATCGGCCCTTTTCTCACCCCACACTTTCTGTCTGCCTCTCCAGTGTGTACGATGACTTCGAGGCAGTGATGTTTTAAGAAGATCTTTAAAATGACAAAATTCTTCACATACCATAAACAAGAGTCGAAATGATGGCCCAAAATTTTGACTTACTGCCTAGCCCTAATCATTAGTGATGGATGGCAGAGTATAAAGCACCACACTGCTGATCTACGACACACTACTAAATCCTGCCAACCTTTTCCTCCCTCCGTTGCTCTTCTCCTCCTCCCATCATCCCCTCTGTTCTCTGTTGGTTCTTCCCAGGAGGAGATGTGCCCTAAAGGTGAGGGGGTGTCACCTCAGCACTGCGTGTGGTCCTCAGCAGTCAACATCAGGGATAAGTACATCTACGTGACCCAGCCCCTCCAGAGCCGACTGCTGGTTGTCGATATTCAGGCGCAGAAGGTGGTGCAGGTGGGTGGAGCAGGTTATCAAACAAGCCCGTCTCGACACAACAAAGGATCGTCTCAGAAATTATTTATTTATGAGGTGGTGACATTTTAAAGTTTCTTTAGAAAACTTTGCAATGAAAGTTAAGCCCTCAAAATCATGTCAAGATTTTTTAAAAAGTGAGCTTAAGTCCAGTGATTGTTTTTTGGAAACACAATCATGCAATCAAGTTTTTCTTGTTTTGACCATGTAGACCATATAGAATGCTGCTACCATCGGCCTGGGGTGACTGTTGACCAGTCAGCCAGTCCTGCCAAACTATTTTGCATAGTGAGATTGTATCAAATCGCAAACACAAACAGATTTTTGTAGTAAACATTCAAACAGGGACAAAATAAATGCAATAGAGCAACCCTGCTTTTTATCTTCTTCTATATGGATCAAAAGCATCCTCCAGTTAAGGTGAGGTAGCTCTATAGCTTCAGTCTTTCAGCATATGATTGTAGCCACCAAGTGCATATTGAACTCTTTTTGTCACAGGTCTTGTATATTCTGTTTTCAGAGATGATGTTTTCAACTTGTGGATAGAGCTGGTAAAATTCCCAGTTACATCAACAAGCACAGCTGACATTTGCAGTCTAAAAACCAAAAGCTGCTGTTGACATTTTTGTGAAATCAAAGACTTTTCTTTTCCCCAAAAATGACAATGAAATCAATCATTGTAAACTGCTTGCACACCATAGAACTGCAAGGGACTCACAACAGAATGCTTTCATCTGTTGCAGTTCCACTTTATGATTTAGGACATTCAAAACTCTAACATCTTGCCTAGTGCACTTTTACTCCAGCCTCTAGCCTTCCCGTGGCTAAACATGTCAAATATCATCACACTGTGATGTGCACTCAGTTCAGACTTGCCACACTATTGAACTGCCACCAGTGCAAAAAGGTGCATGCAAGGTAAAATAAATCAAATGCACCTCAAGCGCTTGAAACAATATGGTACCCAGGTGGGTGCTAGCTGCCTTGCCATTTATCTTGCCTGTAACGGCTGTTTAGAGACTAAATCCCTCAGGGGTCCTTCCCAGGGTCAGCATCATTTATACTGAGGTGCAGGATGAGAGGAAATAGGCCTAACTCAAGGAGAAGTAGGTGGGAGAGGAGAAAGGAGATGAGCCAAAGTCTGAGTCAAGAGAATGAGAGAGATGGCAAAACGATCCGGCAGCAGTGCAGAAATGTCATTAGAGACATGTACCTTCACCCTGTTACCTGTGTGAGAAAGTAAGGGACTAAATGTGATACATGGCAACTTACAGAGACCTTTCTGAACTCCAGTGAAATTATTTGCTATTCCACATCAATACTCTGTGCTTGACTCTGGATACACTTGAGTTTTAGTGATGTTATTTTTTGATTAGTTTCAAGATCAAACTAGACCAAATACAAGAATGTATATTTTTTTCTAACATGTCTGTTAGACCTAAGGTGATAGAAACATAGCAGGTATATACAGTATGTACAGCAAGATGTTCTCACAACATTTATAGTTCAGGTCATCACCTTTGACCTATCATGACCCATCAGCTGCCCTTTTTCTTCTTTTACGCTATTCAGCACTGTGAAACTGCCATCCTACCATTTATTGTCCTATACTTCTCCTCTTGCTCTCTTTCTTGAAGACCCTCTTTGGCCTCTGAGTGCAGAAGGTTAATGCATCCTCCCTTTTTTTTTTTTTCTGTTTTTCTGTTATCTCAAGGTCTTTCTCCTTTTTCTTTTTTTTTTTTTACAAAGCATGTGTAGCTCCTTTTCAGCAGTGTCCTTTAGAACAGGAGAGACAGTGGTAGAGTCTTTATCTACTGACAGACGTAATGCATAAACAAAGGAATGATTTTTATACCAAAAAAAGCAAAATTAGTAATATCCAATCAATAATATTAAATGTAATGGATGTCTCCTCAATAGCAGTGTAGGACATGAACAGACACAGCTGCCCAAAAGACACAGAACTTTCCTGCAGGTCATAGGTGTGTGTAGATCAGCCTCTCAGACGGGCTGGAGCCAAAGCCAGGACAACCAGAACCCAGGAAGTTGTACAGCAACAGATCACACCACCAGAGCTTCAAAGAGAACTATCAGATAAGAGACACTCAAGGAGAGCCTGAATAACCAAATGGGTGATTTTTATTGCTCTACCCCTCCTCCTCTCTCTGCTCTGGACTTAAAGGGATGTGATCAACAGACAATGGAAAAAAGCACCAGAGGATCTTAATGGGACGTTAATATCTTATATTAGTTTAAGTGTTGTTAAATGTTATGGTATATCATATTCTGATAAATACCCCAAAGCTTAATTACAGTTGGATAAGTACTTCTTTAATTTATCAGCTTGTTACATAACCATATATCCCAAAACTGCAGCATCTTTGTAACCGTACGAGATAGATTTATTATGTTTAGACTCTTTGCGAACCGCTAGATATGATATATTTATTTTCAGTAGGTTTATCTTTGTATAATTACAAGCACATATAGTTCTGAAGCAACATTGTTACTTTCATAACAAAACTCTGACCACCGCACGACCACTTCATGACCCCCCTGTGATACAGGGGTATCATATCGAACAGCCCCTCTGGGAGGGGAGCTCTTTGTGATTGGTCAGTAGTTTTACGAATAAAAGGCATTTCACCCGAAAGACTACGGATTTTCTACCAGACAAAGAATCTCCCACTTTGGTCCAATGTTATCAGCTCCAACTGCCACACCCTGATCCAACTCAAGCTGAAGGCCACATCTGCCCCAACATCAGATGTCATTGTACCCGCCAAGGAAACTGCAAGTATCAAGCTTCTGTCTCTAAACGGGTGTTTTATGATTACAATTGGCCTTCAAACAAATATTCCCAAATTTAACAGATTATCTGCTGCTTCGGGTGAAAGGACTTTTAAGTCTCCAAGCCACCATTCTGCTCCACATTCGGTTTTTCACACTCACATTCTCAATCAGCATTTTCATCATTGTTTGTAGTTTATGTTTTATGTTTGTTGTTATTTGTTTGTTTGTTTTAGTTAGTAATAAATGTTGTGTGTGTGTATACAGTTGTTTCCTGTGTTTTCTATGGCTTACTTTCAGTCACTTTACATATCAGATCTTTAGTTACCTAAGCTCTAAGTTAATTCCCTAAACTTTATAAAACACTCTTGACTGAACACCAAGAGTAAACAGTTTGTTAGAATTATTATGCTGACTCTGAAATTATATTGCTGGTCGAATAATTTAAAGGTTGGTTTTAATCATTTTAACAAATGCAATAACTTGGTTTGGTGTGGAAATAAGTATATCTTATTTTCTACCCTACAAAAAGTAACATCTAGGGAAAAACAAAAGATAAAGAGGACGTTTAATTCTAGGTTTTAAAAAAAAGAAAGAAAGAAAGAATAAACCCACATTGCCTTTTATATTCTTGGGTCCTTCATCTCAATGTATTCTTTTGTTTACTATAGTGAAACATTGTCTTGTGCACCTTTTTAGAAATGTTTCATTCTCTTCCAAAGCCTTGATTCTTCAGGCACAGCTATAATTCCCAACAGACTCTAGATGAAGGCTGTAAACATGTGGAGAAGCTGCAACAATAAAGCCTTTCATAGTTTTCATGCTGTTCCACGCAGCGTTGTTATCTTTCTAACCTTGACTCTGACATGTCAGACCTGTGCCAGCTAAGCCTCCCATTGGGCCGGAAAACAATTGCCACATCAGCTAATTAAAAAGATTTCCAGATGGCAAAAACCTCTGGTTATGTAGTCACCGTAACTTATGGTGGCGGCTCCTTTTGAGGCCGCAGTAAATCAACGAGAGACGGCATGAAGATGTTATGTAGTGTTTCGTTTCTGTTAGCAGTTTAAAGATGCTTTATGTTCTATAAAGTAAAGATATTCTTGTTTCCTGAAGGACGACAGTGGTCCTCTGTGACATCCAGGTGCATTTTTATTTCTGTTTTGGCAACAAATACTCCCAGGTGACCTCCAAGAGATCATCTGCCATAAACACAGCATCCAGTATTATAAAATCTCTTGCAATGGATTTTCTGTTGAGTTTCTGCAGCTAGAGCTCTTTACCATCTGTTCGTCTTAGGTTTCCAGCACTTGGCTAAGGCTTTAATAGAATTTTATCAAAATTTAACCGAGTTTCAAGTCTGAGAATCAAAATCAGATCCCTTATAAAATCTAATCAAATTTTGTTTTCAAAATTTACATGTCAGTAGAGCAAAAGAAAAGAAAAAACAATCTAATTCAAATTCAATAGATCTCTAATCAGTTTGAACACAAGATACAGAACCTGAAAGGTTGTAATAACTGACTACCTGCATGGTGGAAATCTGGAAAAACATTGCTTTGTGATCATAAAATGGGCAAGAGGAGTGAAGAAGAAAAAAACTGTATAAAAAGACATTGTTAGCATCAGAGCTTAGCAAATCAGGTACTTTGCCAATATGAAATGCAATCTAAAATGCAACCAGCTGTGAAAATCAATTCCTTTTTGGATTATTTCAAACAACCAAACACACAATTCTTTTCCATTAGCAGCAAACATGATCACTATGCAAACACAGAAGGATGTTTATACGTCTTTGTATTAAGCCAACATTCATTTGCACAAATAGATTCTTAATTCCAACTTCAACTGAAAAGTTCGAATATGTTGGACTTCAAAAGGTCCATTGACTCCCAGACTGCTGCAATGAGGCCTGACGTCAGGTTTGACTCTGCTGCCATCATGTAGGAACTTAAATACACACAAAAAGGCAAATTTTCCACCATGTCCTACTATGCATAGATGCATGCTGAGTTGACACTTGGCTGACCAGTGCAGAGCAGAGGGCTGGACCTCCCATTACTGAACACAGAGCTTGTGGTCTCGCTCCACTGGTGAGGGTGTCAGCAGCTTCCTGTCCACCCAGCCAGAAGCAGGGTAATGGATTGTGTTATTGCTCGTTGTTGACAATGCAGCAGATTTGAGGTTGCGCGTATCCCCCACTTCTTCCATCTCTCTCTTTTCTCCGTCCATCTTTTCCCTCTTCTTTGATTAACTCTCCAAGTTATTCTGCATTATTTTGCTTGATGTGTAAAGTCCTATCACTTTAATGAAGGTACTTAAAAAATACACACCACAGACTATTCATCCTTTCTTCTTATTAATCCATTACTTTTCTGATGTGCTAAGAGCTGAAAGCGAAAAAGAGCTAAAAGCAGCTAAGAGCTTTCTGTTTTCTTGTAAGCTTGGCAGTGGATTGTATCATATATTTTGAGCAAGCAAACATCCACACTTCCAACATACATCCATCATGTGCATTCCGTTTTTAGTCTTAGTAAAAGGTTCTAACAGGTGGGTTAGTCGTAGGGTTGTACAATATTGGCAATGTGGACATTGCGATATTTTCTTACTCTGTAAAATATGTTGTGATGTGAAAAAATACAGGAATTTTTATCAGATGTCTTGGATAACTCCATTTGCGATTGCTTTGTGCTGCTAGTTTTAAATGGTCAAACTATTTTTTTGTGTTAGTGTTTGCAGTGACAACAACTAAAAAGACACTGCTGACCTGACCTGTAATGTTATTTTATACAATTGAATGATAACCTTTTCATTGCCCTCTAGTGGACGCCCTTGATAATGGCAACACTGATTCTAAATTGTTTCAAATATTGTTTATTATTTAGAATTTCTTGTTACTTGTCTTGTTATTCACGTATTTGTACGTTTGTACGTTGTTGTTTTTTTTGGTCCAGTTAAAACGAAATTAATGTTTTCTGTTCCATCCGCTCTCTTTATGTCTTCTAGGCAGTTGCAACAGATCCTTACCCAGTGAAGATGCTGTATGATAAATCACATGACCAGGTGTGGGTCCTAACGTGGGGCGATATAGACAAAACACATCCAACACTTCAGGTAAGTGTGCAGTACTTAACAGTGGTTTCTTTTCAACAACAAGCCAAATAGTTAACCTTAAAGCTGCACTAGTCAGAGCAAAAGGTGACAGGATGTTGTATTTAACATTAATATAGAATTAATGTAGCAAAAAAAAACTATGTAGAGACACAGCAGATAGTGAAGTAATGTCTTTAGCAGAGACTAAGATCACTCTGTGTGTGTGTGTGTGTTGTGAATGGTAGCTTCTCTGTTCTGTGTTTTGTCTGCTGGTCTGACCATTTGTGCATGTGAGTCCCTCCCTTTGACACTGTTGGCCTTCCCTGTGCTTAGAAACAAACTGAGACTAAACTCGCACACTGCATTGTAGAAGCAAAAGTGTATTCCATCACGATCTGTTTGTGCCCCTTAAAAAAAAACAACAATGAACTACATATTTAATTTATGTTATTTACCTAATTTCTGAGCACACAGTGTGGGAGTCTTTTTTGCTGTGTTACTGCTCTCCTCCTCTCATGTCTGCCCTTTTTTTTTTTTTTTTTACATTGTGTGTTGGTGCAACAGAGTAATTAAATCAGTCTCCATAAATCAGTGCTATTAAAAATCAGGGCACCACCTCTATTTTTGAGGGATAGTAGATACATCAGAGTATCAGTCTCCTAAAATATACTTAACTTTCAATTTGGAGATCTGATTAAAAACTAAATTAATAACTACAACCGCAATTACCACGTCGATAACTGGTAAAGTTTGAAGGACTTTGGAGTTGTGGATAGTAGAGGTTGACAGTCTTCGTTCTTGTTTTAAATTAAACAATATATATGAATACATAGGAATTCCAAAGCATTTATTAAAAAGTAAAACACACACAATATACATATACAACATAATATAACAAAAAATGTATCAATCCATGTACACTGATCCCTGTGTGCCCAGTAACAACAGGCCATGAAAGGGAAGAGGTCTGTTGTTGTGCTGCTGTGTTAACTGGCAATCCATTGATTCAGTTGTTGGTGACCGAGGCTGGGAAGAGCTGGGGTTCTAATGTTGAATACAGTCGTTCCTGGGCAGCGTTCTGATGCTGCAGGTTGGAGGAAGCCTTTCACTCCTTTGTGGATTTAGCAGCATAGGGTAACTTGCTTTGTCACTACTGGCACTTATAGAGTTAGCAGATTTTGTATCGTAGCTGCTTCCGGTAGCGTAACTTGTTTATATCTGGTTAGTGGCATGTACTCAGCTAATGAAGGATCTTCAGGATGGCTCTTACGTCATTGCTGAAAGGGAAAAAGGTCAGTGCATCTTCTCCAAGCAGACTGAACAGGTGGTCACTGAGCAAGAGCCAGCGAGAGGGAAGAGTAGGAAAATAATTGTGCATCTCCGTAACGGTGGGCTTGCACTGCTTCTCAGCATTGGATGTTTGACGTGTCTACAACTAAGCAGCGTCACGATAGATGACTGACAAGTGATCTTCGACAGGAAATCACTAAAAGCTACGCCCTACGACAACCACACAGACACTGACGGCACTGGATTGGACAAAAGCTTCACTGGTAAACTGAACCGACATGGCAGCTTGTTACGAAAACAGTTCACCAAAACGTGTTTCTGAAAACAAGACCAAAGACCAGAAATGAGCCATGCAGTTGCTGAATTTGTGATCTTTTTAGATCAACAGCATCGACAGATAGATGTTGAGGTAGGTAGATTGATAGACCTCAACTATATGCAAATGAGGAGTGGGCAAAGAAACGGTCTGTCTTTCACAACGCATCACTTTCAAACCAATTGCTGTTGATCTAAGATAAAGACAGATTTAGCAACTGCATTGCTTATTTCTCACATCAAATCAAATGTTTTAAGAAACACGTTTCGGTTAGCTGTTTTTGTAATATTAGTTTCTAAACAAGCAGGCATATTGGTTCAGAACAGACAGCATACAGATGAAGCACTAGTCCAGTCAGGTGCAGCACATGTTTTCACACAGCTGTACGAGGGTGAAGACTGTGCTGGATTCCTCTTGCAAAGCACTTGCCAGTCATCTATCATAACACTGCCCAGTTGTGCACCCATCAAGTGTTAGGAAGCAGTGTAGTCCCCGGTGTCTGCACATGCCCATGTGGACAGGTACAATTAAACTGACGACAGATGGATTCTGTGGACAAATCCTGAGATGAACACAGGAAGAACAAATGGAGAAGGGCAGTTTGTTGGGGGTAGTTCAGGTTATGGTTACAGGAAGTGACAAGAGAAACAGTGTTAATGCACACATTAATGAATTAATCTCTGTAGTTCCTTTTGGTGCTGACAAGTGTTTGCTTGTTAATTGCTTAAGTGACACTTTTGTGTTTTGCTTACAATATGTTTGTCTCCTCCAGTTTGTAAAATGTCATGGCAGAGTAAATATCTGACACGTGAATCTAATGTTGGAAGATGTAATAGATCTGTTAAGGGAAGAAAGTTAATTTCTGTTCGGCCTCATTGTTTTGATCCCTGGTTGGTGATTAATTTACATGAATCCAGCTTCTCACAGCTCTAAAACTACAAAATAGCCCTTCTTTATTATTGTCGTATTTCTTCACCCACTATTGCGGTGTGTGCATTTGTTGACTCTGATGAGCGATTATCTTCCTGGGAGACTATAATCTATATGAGGTGTAGAAAGTTAACCAAGTGAGGAAAACAGTACCTCGTAACTAATTGAGGCCAGTTGTGTACCTACATCCCTGTTTATGTGATAAGTATTTGCGTGACAACATCTAATCTATGTATGTTTTAGAGCATTTACCAAGCAAGCAAAAACAACAATTCACAGCTGCTCTGCAGTCGGCTTGTGCCTGGCGTCCCTTTGGACTGCTGGTGTTGGAGGCTTCACAAATGAGAAATGATCACAGGTGTGGTTGTATTTAATCCACCTCGGGGGATTGGGTGAGACGAGGGAAGAGAGGGGAGGATGCAGAGAGGGTCGAGGAGGTGGAGGAGAGAGGGAAGGGACCGGAGCTGGTACCTGTGGGAGTGGTGTGATGCTGTTTTTAAAGGGCCAGTATTTATGTGTTTGCCTGTGTAACAGCAGAGGATGCTGCCATGAGTAAAGCCACTGAGGGATCCCATTGTAATGTCTGTAATAGACACAAACATGTTTATTGTTCTGCTTTGTCCCACTGGAGGGAAGGATCCCATTATAATCGTGTGAGGTGTTGTGTTTGGTCTGTGCAGTTCGGGCTTGTGCTGTGTCTATTCATTACGAGGGCTGCAGAGGGATGATACATCCTCAAATGTATTATTCTTCTGAGGATCTTTCAAGCGAAATGACTCATTTTATATTCAGAAAATCACTTGAATGCATAAATGATTTTTTTCCCCCAGTGCAGTTATTGGTTTTGAACACCAGTGGTTTCATATAAATTTTTAATAGTTAATCAGCCCTCATGTAGCTGTTAATGGCACCGCAATCGTTTGTCAAATGGTTCTATAAATAACACGTCTTGGTGACGGTGTAATGTGTCTATTTTACACTGTTATCTCTGGTTGTTTTGAAATACATTTGTGCTATAATGGTTGGTTGTTTTGGATACAAAGGTGCCACTATGCTTTGGCAGAGACAGTAGTGAAAAGACAACCACGTGTGGGTTTTAACAGTTTTCTCCTGATTCACAATGTGCATGGCCAAAGGGACAGCATGTGTGTGCCTGTTGTTGAGTTTTGCACCTTTTCTTCACAGAAAGTAGGTGTACAAACAGGGGATTTGCTTTTGTGTCACTTTAAAGGACACACTCACCATGGTTGTGCTGGAGTGGTTTTAAACTTCCATCAGAGTCTTAATTTTAAATAAAGCAGAAAATGTTATGAAAGAGATGTTTTTCATCACAGACAAAACAATTTTCCCCTCATATAATTCGAGGGAACTACTGAGAGCAGCTTTGCATAACATTTCTCCCTTTCGGGGGCTGCTGGTTGAACTGCTGAAAACATATTTTTGTGTTTTTCATTTTATTCATTTCCCCTCTTCCTGCAGTCATTCAGGAGTAATGAATAATTACTGAGCAGGGCATGAATCAATCAAAAATGCAATTGCAGGGAAACCACATAATGGATTGGAGGCCACATGGATCACACCACAAATAAATGGTCTGATAATGTCATTATCATTTGGACTGAAAGTAATTGACCTGTTGAGCAGCAGCCTGTCACTACCAGAGACACCGCTTCGCTTCAGCGGATCATACATGTGCATGAGCGTGTGTCTCTGTTTGTGCATGTTAATTCGAGCACTTGAGACGGGCAAATGTGTGTAGGTGCGCATTTGTTTCAGTGTGTGTTGTGTTTTTAAGCAGCCAAGTTTGAGGATGGCTCAATAACTCTCTGTAAACATTAGAGGGAGTGTGATTGTCAATTCATTAGAGAAGACAAATGGAGAAATCTCTGCCGGGCAGAGAGAGACATGGCCTTTCAGACTGTCAGTCTCATCTCTATCTACGTGCCAAGAAGATATTTAACTCACAGGCACATTGTTTGGTTTTTTTTTTCTGTGCACGCACACACAGTATTTCCCATCTGTTTTCTCCCCATTTGTGTCTTTATTACATTTGCCAAATATGTATTTTACACTGATTATTATTGCAAATGAAATCATTACTACTACAATTTGTCACAACAGGAAACTGCAATTATTTACTTTAGGCTGGCAAAATCATGCCTTTATTTTAATTCTCTTCACAAAAGGCAGTGTTTACCATAAAGTCAGTTTTTAAGGTTCAGGTTTTAGTTTATTTCAATTTCCTCGTGTGTGTTTGTTTGTCTTTTCGACTTTTTCAACCTGACACTCCTCAGCCTTATCTCTCCTTAACGTGAATGAAGTTGTAAGCATTCCCTGTCACATTAAAACACATTATTGAATGTGTTAGTTCTTGCTGTATCACACCAAAGTTGACATTTTTGCTGGCAGAGTTTTGGCATCATTTACTTAATTTATTTATTTATTTATTTATTTTAGAAACAATTGTGTTTTTTTTGTTTGTTTT